TCTCTCTCTCTCTCTCTCTCTCTCTCTATCTCTTTCCCTCCCTCCCTTTGGGAGGGCTCTCTCTTCTCTTCTCTCACTCTCTCGTTCTGCCTGCGCCTTCTCACCTTCTCCTCGCTGTTCCCTCCTGCTCGTCGTTCCTCCGTATCGCGACGTTCAACTAGCAATAAGATCGACGGCGAACTTCGACGAGGCAACGTCCGCTCGCCGTCTCATCCGCGTCCGGCGTATCCGACGCAACGATAATTTCGTCAATTCTCGTCAATCCCGGCTGGTCGCGGGCGATTTTCCCCGCGATTGTTTGAACACGAAACGAGGGGGAATCCCTCTCTGCGAGGGAAGGAGAGCAGCCGGGCAGCCGATATTGCCCCGTTGTGGTCTAGGAAGATTGGACGAGTGCTGATTGTTTCAATGCCGACTAATGGAGAGAATGACCGTAAGGACACGCACTGTGCACTGCGTGTGACGCGACGAATCGCGCTCGCGCGAAACGGCCAGCAGCGCGTCTTTTCTTCTGGAGGAGCCCGCGTCCGTTCTTCTTCGCTGGGACTTCGATGGGACTTGAGCCGAAGATGTTCTTCGATAATCCGTAACCGTATTCCACGCCGTCCGTATTCCCTCGGATTTGAACTTTAATTTCAGTATCTCTCGTATCCTCGGGATTTCACGCCGTGTCTCTGATCCTTCAGGCTGTCTCGCGGCGGGATCTTGGGGATCTTGGGATCTTCGGAGCTTTCAAGTTCTGGAGACTCCCCTCGAGTTTCCACGCCTCTGAACATTGAATACGCAACTCGCAGATTTAGCGAGCTCGGCTCAGTTCGGCCGAGATTACGCGCTTGTTTATTCGCGTACTCCGCCGCGACGACGTAGAATGATCCATCACCGCTGACGAAAGTGTCGGTCACCGAATTTCCTTCTCCCCTCCTTCCCCCCGTTCTCCTCCCTCGTCCATCTTCAACTTCCAGCCCCGAATAGCTCCGCGATGCGATACGCCGATTTATCGCCGGTGATTAATTAGTGCCGCGGCCTTGGTGGCTGCTCCTGTGATCTCCGCGCATCTTGTTCGCGCGCAAAAGCGATGAGCATCGATCTAAGAAAAGACCTTGGGCCGATCGTTTATGCGTGCATATCACGCCGCGCATCTTCCGATAAATTAATCCTTAGCTTTCGCACGCTGGACCGCACAGAGTTGAGTGGTGCAAATAGCTGTCTTTTATCGGATTTGCACATCACAATTTGTTTAATTGAGACTCCATCTTTGTCTCTTTTTACGTGATAATACACGTTTTTCATATTAACATATCACGAAAAGATTAATTTCTCTTTCTCTTTTCGTTCCATCGCACGTGTCTGAAAAATGTAACGTCCCATTCCGTGCGTTGTTGTCTGACTGCGTTGTCAGCTGCAATGTGTTCGAGTTCGCGTTATCGAGACCGACGAGGAGCCCAAGCAACTATCACGGAAACACAGGAGAGATTATTGGAACGAGGGCGACGTTCGAACGAAACCGCGTGCGAACAAGTATCCAGCGAGAGAAGAGAGGATTACAAAACGACGGCGGCGGCGGCGACGACGTAGATGACGACGACGACGACGACGACCACGGCCGGCTACGGTGTAAAATTTCAGAGCATTGCTGCTTACTCGTCGACCCTCTTGTCCTCCACCGGGTTCAGCTTTCCGGTGACTTTGTTCGCAGCTGGACGAGCTTTCGCAAAGCGAGAGCGATCGCATGGCTGCAGTTAATTATCTTTTGCGGTTCTCGTTAAGAGCCACTTGTCACCGACTCGCGCGCTCGTCAAGTCGGAGCTCGAGATAATCGCAGTGAATCTTAACGAGAGCGGAGCGCATTGCCCCGAAAAGTTTAATAACCACGCGTTAACGAACGCCAGCTGGGATTCCGCGAAATTCAACGTCGACGTCGCGACGCTCGGCCTTTGTGTCCCCATCCCCTCTTATTCATCCCGCTCCCTTCCCCTGATGTCGACTTGTCGGTTCCTCGCGCCGTATGAATCGTGAATTATCGGCGATGACGGACCGTTTTAATAAAGATTGACGGGCCGTTTTAATTAACGTCGACGCCGCTGCCGCTGCACCGTCGCCTTCGCCGTTGCAGTGTGAGATATCCGGGCCATGTATAAAAAGACCTTGCGCAAAAATCGGAGCTCGAGCTCGGTATTTCTGTAAAAAAAAACAAGGAATGGAAAAGAAAAATAAGCGCGCGCCGCTGCGCGAAACTTATCACGAAGTATTCGGCGATTTGGTTCTCATTGATTCTCTCAGTCTCTCTCTCTCTCTCTCTCTCTCTCTCTCTCTCTCTCTCT